ATTTGGATATTAATTACGTTCCGTGTATTTTTTATCATCTCGTTCCACTTTTATGTATTTAATTTCGATATTATGAGTAACTAAATAATTTTTGTGATAGGATTACAATAAACCTTATATCATGAACTTTTAATATTTGAATCTTATTTATTTTTTACATTCAAAGCACATTTTTAATTCTTGAATAATTGATATGAATTTATTTTTGCCTACAATTACTTGATCACTAATTTTATGAATATTGTGGCTTGTTTTCTCTCGAAAGATGGAAAATAAGTTAAACATAGTATCAATTGTTGTAGAGTTCAATAGGGAATAAAAATTTATCGCTATACTTTACGTGATCTTTACGTATTCATAAATTTTTAATGCATTTTTATATGTTAGCATCCATCACAAAAATATAGTCGGGTCACATGTCAAAATATGTTTAATTCTACTAGAGAGATATTGTTGAACAAATTAAGAATATTAATCTTCATAATTGAATTGTGTTGTCAAATTGAAAGGTTTAGGTTAAAGGAAATTGATATAAGGGAATTTGGGATCCTAGTGGCTTTTCATTATCATATATATATATATATATATATATATATATATATATTTCTTTTTATAAAACTTGAATTTAATGATCACTTTACATTGATTTTAATCAATTTAGGTCTTGCATTTATAAATAGATTATTTAATTTATAGAAAAAATCACAAATTTCAATTGTTTCGGTTAAGACTAAGTTAATTCGAATTTGAACTAGTACAGTCTCTGTGTGAATGATAGTTGCACGCAAAATCATTTTACTACTTGTTAACAAATTGTAAACTTGTGCTATTTTAAACGAACAAGTTTTTCGTGACAAATTTTTGGCGCTGCTGTTGAGAACTGTATTTGAGTTTAATTTCATTTATCTTNGTTTTTTTTTTTTTTTTTTTATATCAATTTATTTCAGCACTTCTATTCTCTCTTTTAGACATTTATGTGAAATTCAGGAGACGATGGACTGATACCAGCTGATCTGAAAATCGAATGCACCTTTCACCATAAGCAAAGAGAAGCACAAAAAAAAGATGGCTAATGCATAGAATAATCTGGTTATCCCAATTAATAAAGAAATAGTGGTCGATGAAGAAAACGTGCTAGTTGGGAACTGCATGACTCTACAAATTATTCAAAGCTAATCTAGCGTCGATTATCCTCCATTTGGTGAGTCGAACTTTCAGCTGGAGACAAATGTAATCCATTTATTCCAAAATGGACATCAATTCTGTGGTAGGGCTAATGAAACACACGTCTCTAGATTTTTGGAAATGTGTCTACACTTTAAATATCAAGGAGTTTTAGATGATGTTATTAGATTGAGATTATTCCAACATATTCTACATGATAGAGCCCTTGAATGGTTGGAATCACAACCCATTGCAAGTATCACTATTTGGAATAACTTAGCTATAAAATTTTGCACAAAATTCTTCCCACCAGCTAAGATAGTGAAGTTGAAGCATGACATATCTATATTTCGATAGTGAGAAACTGAATCCTTTGATGACGCTTGGAACAGATTCAAGTACATACTTTGGAAGTGTCCTCATACGGCATGAGTAAAGGGTTTCAGGTCTAATATTTATATGTAGGTCTACTTTCGTCTTACAAAAGTATGGTGGACTCATCATCAAATGACTCCTTATGCACGAAGATAATTGATGAAGCCTTGGAGTTGTTTCAGATAGTTGCTACTACCACATCCATGTGGGTTTTTGAGTGGGTTGTTCACAAGAAGGTACCAAGAGTATAAGAGGTGGACACTTATACAAAATTATCTGCAAAATTTGACATTTAGTTCATAAGGTTGAGAGCATATCACAATCAGCCAATGCAGTATAGGCCAAGCAGCTAAGTTGTGAAGAATACGGGGCATATCATATTACAACAGATTGTCCAATTCTTCCACAAGAAACAAAACAAGTGGACTATATACAAGGGGGTCAACACCAACAAAACAATCACATTCTGATACATAAAAACCTAGTTGGAGGAAGCACTCGAAATTTTCTTGGAGTAATCGAAATCCCACTGCACCTCTTGGTTATCAGCATCAGCAGCTTGAGAAGAGAATTCTATTGGAAGAAAAGTTTGGCAAATTTTTGGAAAAGACAGAGCACTACATAGAGGCAAATAATCAATTCATGAGAAGAACTGAGACAGCCTTTCAAAATAAGAGTGCTGCAATAAAAAATTCGAAAACTCAGATGGGACAAATGGCACTTGCTATATCAAACTGAGCACTAGGTACCCTGCCAACCAATACTGAGACTAAACCCAAAGAGCAGGTAATGGCGATAAGTATTTTAGAGAATGAAATAATTGAGTATCTATTTTTGAAAGCAATCACAACAACAAGTGGAGTACAGTTGCCGGAGATTATAGTCAAAAGACCAGTTACAATTATGAACAAAGTACATACTACATATGATGAGCAAGTGGATAAGTCTAAACAATCAACATAGAAAAATTTGAAAGTGAATTTAGACAATCCACAAGATAAGGTAGCTGGTTTTGTTAGAGAATATGTAGCTCCCATTATTCCTACAAAGATTGAAGAAACGCAAGCTAGACCAGTAGTTTGAGATATTTTTAGATGTGCTAAAGAAACTCCACATCAATATCCTGTTCATAGACTCAATAATGCAAATTTCTAGCTATATGAACATTTGAGGATAGTACTTCAGGTGTTAAAGTACAAGCAGTTATATGCAAAGTTTAAGAAATGTGAATTTTGGT